TTCAGATCCCAGAATCAACCGACGTCATTCTTGTGAATGCTGAAACCCTTCTGATCTTTTTAGATATGCTTGTCTCCCAGTAATCGCCATCATTTGCCTGTGAAAGCCCAAACCATTCAGCTTTCTCCCTTCGGATTTTTTTCTTCATCTAAGTTCAGCTCCCAGAACCAGTCGGCGTCTTCCTTGTGAATGCCAATACCTTTCTTTCTGTCTGACAAGTCAGACTTCTTAAATAACAAAAAATCGGCTCCAAATTGACTCAGAAATTTGATACTATAGTTTTATATCTTTTTCCCTATTTGGTTAAAAAATCACAATTATATCTCTTTAAAAAGTGCCTGTTTGCAAACTTTATTTAGGCGGGTTTTGGGGCTATCAGACTTCAGACTCTTCTTTTTTTTTAATTTTTGAAAACCAAATTTTAGACATATTTTTATAAACAATCAGGATTCATTTTGGCCGTTCTTTTACAACGTGAATTTGCGTCTCACATATATAAAGTTTTACCCATCAAATTTTATTAAAACTATTTTTTGCTCACCACCATTTTACCTATTTTTTTCTTTAAAGAATACGTTTTAACAACTTTCTTCTTTTTAATAAATATTTCTAGAACACTGCTCTCAAAAGAAAGTGTAATAAACGAACCTAGTCTATTGTCTTTTTTTATTTACCCTTTAATTATTTTTGCATAATTTTACATTTCTTTTTTATTATATAATTTTTCATACCATAGGTATAGTTGATATCAGCGCAAGGTCATTCATATATACAAATGGCCTTGTACCATCATTCGTTATAGAGCAGCAATAATAAACGTGTTGAATCATAAAGTCGTTTTTTTTTCTAAATGACTATGAAAATGTAATTGTAAGATGCGAACCTATGTTCATTTGAAACTCGGTCCATGATCAGCGTCAACAGTATATTGGCTATCTCTTGACATTTTATCTTCTTTCACTGAAAATGGTCAACGATTGTCGAAAGTCCTCAAAACATTACACACAATTTCGTCAAGTCTCCACATTGTTATAGACAAGCGTATGGTTGCAAGAAAGAAATACGACAACAGTAGAAATAGATTTACGTGGTTTATTTCAACAGGAACGTAAGGGTTTAGGACAGCTACCTTGGTGTGGTAAAGTTCATAAGCCGGCTTTCGGATCTAGGTCGATCTCTCATAGTAGTTCACACATGTTGACGGTGGTTGACGCTCTCCTGCTGACAGCTGCTAAACGTGACCGGTCTCCTTTGTGGCCACCTGTTGACCCCTTTTATAGCGTTTTTTATGGCTTAACAGGCTCGAGAAACGAAGCGAGTATAATTAGGAGGGAAGCATTTTTATTAGACGAAAAATAGAGCACTTTAATTATTATTTTATTTTTCGACCGGAACACGTGTGTCGGAAACATTTGTAAAGAAAGTTAATGGTCATTTTGTGACGAGGCTTTGTCCCGTTCACATCCGGTTCTCGCTCTTGAGTATTTGCCTGTAAATCAGCCGAGATATGTCATTTTATTTTATAACAACATCAAACGATTTATTCAACATTAGAGAAGACTTGTAATAACTTGTAGCAAATTCAAATTCAAAATCTAACAATAATTTTAGAGCCAAGGAGAAAGGAACAAAAATCATCTAATTCGGACTTCAAAAGATTCAGTTGACAACATCCGGATATGCTGCAATATTTTTAAAAGAAATGCCTTTCTAGGATCTTGTAGAGGACCGTGTGGGTTTGCGTGTTGTTGATTAGGAGCACGTGCTGTTTATTCCTGCTAGAAGGTACAACTACAAGAAAATGGCGGACTCAAGTTGAGTCCAACCGAAGATGTAAAGAAAACAAACAAGACCGAGATATATATGTCAATAAATATATGTATTAAACAACAAATTTACACGCGACATTTGTGTTTGTGTGTCAACGTAAAGCGTTTGTATTTTGGTGAATGTTCGTACGTACGTGTATGTGTGTTTCATGGAGTTTTTCCACAAGTGGGAGAGAGCGACCCCCTAGTGAACAATTAGGGAAGAAAGAACCTCTTACCACTAGAACTTCGTTCTACTATCAACGAGCTGACTGGGACTCGTTTCGTGATTTCCTCCGCGATGTCCCCTGGGATGTTGTCTTTACGCTCCCCGTCCAAGAATGTGCTTCTGAGGTCTCATCCTGCTGAGTTAAAGCTGTAAATCGACGCTTTCATCCCCTCAAGGAAATATAGGGTCAAGTCGCGCTCCTCCCCTTGGTTCTCCGCTGCTTGCTCAGCCGCCATTGCCCATAGGAACCACTTCTTTCACCTATTTCGTAGTGACATGTCGGACTGCAATAGACGTCTCTTTGCCTCCGCCCGTAACGAGTGTAAGCGTGTCCTCAACGATGCTAAGTTACTATTTGCTGCTCGGATCAAGGAGCGTATTGAATCTCGCAAATTTGGCTCCAAAAATTGTTGGCGTCTCTGCAAGAGCGTACTGAACGATTGCAAACCCTCTATACCTCCTTTGTTCAACCAGTTCGAAGTCCTGACCCCCTCTGCCGACAAGGCTGAATGCTTTGCTCGGAAATTTTCATTCAACTCAACGCTCGACTCTTCCGGTGTACCCATACCCGACTTTCCTCTTAGAACTGAGGCCCTGTTGAGTGGGTTACACATAACCCCGTCTTTGGTATTGGGCATTATCTCCAATTTAGACCCCAACAAGGCTAGTGGTGGGGATGGGATACCAGCCATTGTCTTGAAGAAATGCGCGCCTGAACTGGCGCCCGCCCTCTCTAAACTATATAACTACTGCCTCAAGGAATCTTGTTTTCCTGACTGCTGGAAGTCCTCTTCGATTGTTCCTCTTCAAGAACTCTGGTGACCCCTCTGACCCTTCTAATTACCGTCCTATCAGTCTCCTACCCCTCTTCGGCAAAGTCTTCGAAGCCCTAATCAATGCCGAAGTGGTTAATCACCTTACATCCCATAATCTTCTCTCAGACAAGCAATATGGTTTCCGCTACGCCCGATCTACAGCTGATGTGCTTACAGCCATCACTGAAACCGTCTACCAAGCCATTCAAAATAACGGTGAGGCTCGTGCCGTGGCCCTAGACATCTCCAAAGCGTTTGATAGGGTTTGGCATGCAGGCCTTCTTCGCAAGCTCCAGGGTTATGGCGTTACCGGTCGATTGTTTGACCTAATACAATCATTCCTGTCAAACCGTGAATTGAAGGTCGTTCTCAACGGATTCTCCTCCAGTTCCTATCCCACGAACGCAGGTGTTCCTCAAGGCTCCATCCTAGGCCCCACTCTATTCCTTATCTATATAACTGACCTTCGTGACGCCATAAATTCCCAAGTTGGCATCTACGCGGATGACACCACAATTTACTCCTGCCTCAAAAACAAATCTAGTGTCGCTGACAAAACTAACCTGGCCGTACGTCTCGAAAAGGACCTCCAATCGGTTGTGAACTGGGGCAGGAATTGGCTGGTCAACTTTAATGCCTCAAAAATAAACCTGCTCTCTATTAATCACCACAGAGATCCTTCCCTTCCCTCCATTAGAATGGTTGACGCTCAACTTCTCGAGAGCACCTCTCTGTGGCTGCTCGGTCTCACGTTGACTGTTGACCTGAGATGGAACGAATACATTGAGTCAATTTCTTCGTCCACGGCAAGGAAAGTTGGCTCCCTGTGCCAAGCCAGGACATTTTTCTCCCCGGAATCGATCCTTCAGATCTACAAATCAACAATTCACCCTTGCATGGAGTATTGCTGCCATATATGGTCTGGAGCCCCTTCTGTTTGCCTGAATTGCTGATAAGATCCAGAGGCGGATATGCAATATAATTGGCCCTGTTCTGGCATCTCGTCTACAGTCGCTCTCCCACAGACGCGCCGTCGCCTCTCTCTGTCTTTTTTACAAATACTTTCATGGTAATTGCTCCGAGGAGCTGCATTCGCTGGTTCCCAGACTTCATGAATTCAAGCGCCCTACGAGGCTGGCATCCCACTCTCACTCTTTCACTGTCGAAACTATTAAATGTAGCCGTCTCTTTTACTCCAATAGCTTCATATCTCTCACCTCTCGCCTGTGGAACTCCTTTCCCTATTCCAGTTTTCCTGAGAGCTATAATCTCCAACTATTCAAATGTAATGTCAATCGACATCTCCAGTTGCCTTGATCTATCCACTATCCTTCTCCTCATCCTTTCCTCTATCACTCCTATCTGATCTTGCTCCAAATCTTCTGTAACCCCTTGCGTCCTAGTGGCCTCCTGCCTTGCTTGGGGGTGAAACGCTTAAAAACAAAATATATATATATATATATATATATATATATATATATATATATATATATATATATATATATACTAGAGAAACACCTGCTACCGAGGTATAACTAACTTTGAAAAGTATCGTCTCAACTATCTGAGTGAATTAAGAACCAACACTAAATCTCGGACTAAATGCCTCAGCCCATATGACAGTCAACCCTTCAGTATGCCCTCCGTGTGGATTTGTTTGCAAATCCAGTGCACAATTGTTGCCTCATAAACAAAATAACTGAACTGAAAGACACTCATACGTCGAAAACGACGAGAGAGTCCATCATATATATATATATATATATATATATATATATATATATATATAGATAGATAGATAGATAAATTATTATATATTTATATATATATATATATATATATATAGATAGATAGATAGATAGATAGATATGGCGGGTGCTTTTGTTTAGCAGCATATCAACAACTTTATGTGTTATTTAATGTTGAAATCTAAATATTTTGTATGCAATTTTATTTTACTGTTTTGGAGCTAATAATGGTTTTTATGATACATGTTTTGCTAATTAACCCATAGCTGGGGAAAGAAGAGGTGGAATCATACCTTTCCCAAGTGCGTAAGTGAATATAACAAATCCAACAGGAATTGGAACTTGGCTCTCCAATTAACGATTCTGAGCCATTATCCATTACACCATCCACACATCCAAGCTTACTGCACCTGGTATTCCCAAGAGATTAACCATCTAGGTACTGACCAGATTCAATGTTGCTCAACTTCCGTGATCGTATGAGAACCAGTGTTTCAATGTGATGTGGTCATAAGCCACCCACACACACACATACATACATATATATATGTATATATAGGCATTTTTGTTATATTTCTTACTAAATTTTCTAAGTCTACCAAAAAATGAATCCGCAAATATGAAAGAATCACAATAAAAACTAATCGACATGATATGTTTTAAATTATTTAATCAAACCTGTTTGAATATATATATATATATATATATATATATATATATATATATATATATATATTTAAAGTCCAAAAGGCCATATTCTTCTTTTATTCATCTTGAAGGGAGACACTGCACATAAAAGAAGATTAACCCTTATATAAGGAACGATAAGGAATTATTATTAGAGTCGAGTTTATTGTTTCTTCTCTGATGCAATTAGCAACACACACACACACATACATACATACGCACACACATATACGATCTCTCACCGAACACACAAGACATCAATTCAAAGAGAATCAACTGTTCACATCACACAGATACATACATACATACATACATACATACATACATACATTCACAGCATTCATATGACTTCCTTTTTCAATGAATAATATACCTTTCAATTTACACAGACTTCAAAGTCGAAGATTTCATATTATTTTATCTATTAAAAAACAATTATTGCAACTTTATTTGAAATGACAACACTGTTCTTCTGAATTCCAGCCTATTGTTTACTCACTCTTGAAATGGCTATATATTTTTTTTGTTGGCGGAAGCTGTTATAATCAAGGTCTCTTTGTGAATCACAAATACTTTTCACTAGACATGTTGGCCTGATGTCAACACCAAGAAAGCAAACCTAAAAAAAAAAAAAAAGTTGTCTTCTGCACAGCGGATCCATGCATTACATCTAGTTGTTTCTCCACAAAAATCTAAAATACAATAGCCAATCATGAATGTTGCCCCCCCCCTACACACAAACCAAAAAAGATGGATGAGCCTGGGAGCCTGCACCTGTTAAACCACAGACGTAAAAATGCATGCCTTGCCGACAACAAGCAATCGGCTTCAACACCTTGACCACATCAAATGACCACCGGCCCATCGACACACTTCACCGGTGTCAATTTCAACTCTGAAGATAAATGGATCAACACCGCCAATGACACCCCACTCATGCGATCATGCGGCTTTACTAATTCACTCCAGGTTACCTCGTCATGCCCACATTGACCTCAGTCAACCAACCTAACAAATCGGTCAACCTCCGGCCTTACCGACAACACCCTTACATGTAATTGCTTCCCTTACCAATGGTAACATATCAACAATTTTGACACCTTTTCACACAAATATGTATATATTCTGAAAATTGATCAATACACGCTGTTGAAAATTTGATCCATGTTTGTTCTTTCTTTTGTAATCATTTGTAACTATACACTCGTTATAACAAAAACAATTTATCCAGAGTCAGATAAAGTAATTTTCAGCTCTGTCACAAACTCACCAAAGCACTTAAAAAGACAGTTTCAAACATGATATTTGCAAATAAAAACAACATACAGATAACTATATAATGAATCAGAGATCAATTTGACATATTATGAACAGGATCCCTCCTTTTAAAATGATACAAAAAAAAAAAATCAATATTTTTAAATTCTGACAAATGCTGTGGCTTGAGAAAGGTTTAAAATGATTTTTCTCAGAGAAAGAGTGGAGGAAGAGAGAACGTCACCTCACTTATCCCGAATGTTGTATAAGGCACATATGTAGACAAACAAGGCTTGGATGCCTGTTGTGAACCAGAACGAAATTTAGATTTATTGACAAAACATAAAAACAATCGAACAGAATACAAGGTTTACAAACATTTGCACAAAATTTTCCTTTTATACGTCTTATTAAGTCAAGATAGCCAGTTTAAAAATTCAATATGGCCCATAAACTTCTCAGCAAAACTTCCAACAATCAAAAAATCTTTTGAGAAGCTACAATACAATTCATTTAAAAAGGTTCTAACAATACATATTCTTTCAAAAAGAAGATACATTTACTTATTTGAAAGTCGAAACTGACAAGGTTGGCGGATTCACCAGAGTTCTTTTCTTTAAACACAGTTCAATTATTAATTTAAAGTATTTCTCATTTTTTTGCTTTCTTTTAGACTTCCGCTTCTTTTTCTTTTGTTTATGACTCTTTTGCATCTCAATTCTTTTGTAAGAAACAGCCTAGTTCATCCACTGGTGACAACTCAAATTCCTTATCCTTATAAAATCCTTCTCTAGCTTGAGCCCTTTTTTATCTTTGTATCATTCTTAAATTCTATCCTTCTGATTTTTACAACCAACTTGACTTCTTATATAAGCCCCTTATTTCAATGGTTATTTTTCGAGCCATTTTATTTTTAGAAAGTTTCCTTGAACCATTTGTATCACTCAAAAACAATTGATTTTTTCATAGAATGTTCACTATAAGCCATTTTTTTAAAATAGGATTAACGTTTTTACTCTTTTTACAAATCTTTACACCAAGCTTCATGCCAGACAGCTCCAGATTTTGTTCACTCATTTTCTGCCAACTGTATAGCATGAACACATACAACTTCCTCTACTGCTTGGTAAAAAAAATGACTTATCTGGTATGTGTATCAAATGAGCGGAAGTTGGAACATGTCCATATGTACCCGGGTATAAATGTTTGCTTGACTCATTACCCCCAGCGACATGCTGTGGTTGTTTCTGGAATTAAATTGACCATTCTTGTATTTATTGCAAATTTAAGAAATTCTACTAAATAGTGTTCATTATCTGCTATCAAAATATAGTATGCTTATTTATATTGATTTTTACAAAAACATTTTGTTTATTCACATCTATATGTGTGGTTTAGGGATTAAAATGAGCAGTTGATTTACCCACACCAAGAATTTTAATGAATGATGATAATAACAAAGAAACTTAGAGGTAATTTTAGCCAAACAAGTTAAAGAAGTTATTCTTGAATTTACACACATCAAGTTGTGTCGGTAGCTCGTTTCAGGAAAATAAATCAAAATTCTTAAAGTCTGTAGTTTTAATGTATTGTCATGAAGAGGAAATGTTCATACAACAGATCAAATGATCTAGCACAAAATAATATTAAAAAAACATGTTTAAAACAAAGCTAAGAGAATTCATTGCTCACTGAAGGGATATGTGGTTTGCATACGTTCAAAAATAAATGCAGAGAGAGAGAGAGAGAGAGTTTGAAATACTGCATTGTTGAGAGAAAAATCGTTGAAGTACCGCGTGCTGGATAGAAGCCAATAATATAACTAGTGGGTAATTTTACACTGGCAAGTACGTGAACTGTGGTTGCAAGGAATTGAAACAAAACCTTTCACATGACTTCAGACACTCTTCTCTGATTAACTTAATTTTTCTCCTCATTTTATATCCAAAAGAATTTTGTGTAGGCTCGCCACTTTCTTTCCTTCTTCTTGGCTCAACAGCTAATTTCTGTGAAGGTAAGGTTTTCATTGGTCCCAAAACAATTTTACATAAGCTTGCGAATTTCTTTCCTTCTTCTTCCTCAGTCCTCCGAATTTGAAGGGAATGAATGGAGTTATTATTACTTCACACTCACTACACATCCACAGAATAAACACAAATGTGTTTAGAGATCTCTGCTTTAATATGCTTTTGTGCTGACATAAAGTGGAATGATTATATTGAATCAATGGCTAAGTTTGCTGCTAGGAAATTTGGTTCACTGTGTCGTGCTAGTCAATTTTTATTGACAGAATCTATCTTACACATTTACATTTTTTAGGGATTCTTAATAAAATCCAAAGAATCTACAATTTTAGCAGTCTTGACCTGGCATCTCAGCTTCAGTCATTTTCCCATTGCCATAATATAGCTTCCCTGTGCCTTTTCTATAAACATTTTGATGGTAATTGTTCTCATGAGCATTCCTTTTTGGTACCTCGATTTTATGAATTTAAGCACTGTACTAGATTGGCAGCTAGATCTCATCGTTTTACAGTTGAATTTGCTAGATGTAACTGTAAGTTCTATGCTAATAGTTTCTTCTCTTGCACTTCTCACTTGTGGAACTCTCTTTCAGCCTCTAGTCTTTTTTCCAATTAACTTTGATCTTCAAAAATTTAAATGCAATGTCAATCATTATCATGTCTTCTCAATTCCTGTTCATTTATTGCTTTCTCTCCATAAGAAAGTTTTTTTATTATTATTTTTCTCCTATTCTATCACATTTTGTAATCTCTTGCTTCTTAGTGGCTTTTAGAGCGAAATGACTAAAACAAAATGTCATTCATCTATAAAACTGAATTTGGAATACCTCAAATAAAGAGTAAAATTACAAACATTATAACAATTAATCTTATAATCTAAAAATACCAACTGAATTCTAAGGATTAGTCCATATGCATTTATTTATATGGAAGACACTAATTATGGATTTTTATGGCAATAATTTTGCCATTTTATTGGTTGGTACTAAAACTAAGGTCACATTATTGGATCTTTATCCACTGAGCCAATATTTATATTAGTATTATTATTACATATTGTGGTGAGTACATCCACGATAATACACCAGGATACAATCCCAGGTTTATAGAGGACTAGGAGTAGAGCCCAGATCAAGTATCGACCATCATAAAGACTGAAAAAAAAAATTGACAAAGATTATTGTTTAAGATTGACGGACACACATGTCTTAATTAGTTTTTTTTTTTTTTTACGAAACTCAAACAAAAACATTGTTTTCAATTGTTATGAGTCTACCGATTGAATAGAATTTTATTATAAACAATTGTCTTGTAAATGGAATTTTTAAAGCATTCTGAATGTAAAAATAAAGAAAAAAGTGTGCAAGACAATAAGAAACACTACCTGCCCCCCCCCCAAAGTGAAGTTTTGTTGAAATCGGTTGAAAAATGTAGGAAATCCTATCCCATATATAAACAAACACACACACACACACACACACACAAACAACCTGGGTTTTATAATAAGTATAACTCGATATGAGTTGTCCCCCTTTCATTCTTGGCA